CCTACTTGCTGCCCCAAGTAGCCGCTAGCAACCAACCCTGCCTCTACACCCCCACCACCGCGCCGCCACCAAACGGAAGGAAAAGCAATCCACCACCAACAAAGCCAACGGGATCAAAGTGGGAAAAAGATCCACTCCCTCAAACCCCGCCGACACACACCGCCACCGTCGCCCCCAGACCACGCACGTCAACCACCACACCACCTCAGCCACCGCAAACCACAACCACCACCCTCAAAAGGAGAAGAACAGAGATAAAATAACACCCCCATCACATGCGACTCACGAACACCACCAATCCAATGCCAAACAACACATGATCAGAGCAGCAATAGATCGAAAAGGAGGCAGCATCCCTACACCCACCCACATGACAGTAGAACCAAGAGGCATCAAACCAAACCACCGAATCACTACGCCATTCTGAGTGAAGCAAGGTGGACAGCTCTAAAAGTCACGACAGAAGATGTAAATTGCAAAACAATTCCCTCTGCACACAGAGAACGACCACAAGATCTGAGACTAAGATCTGAGGTGTGGAAGAAAACCATCTCAAGAGATAGGTTTTTGGAAAAATCCACTTAGGGGTAGCAGTCTAGAAATTCGTAAATCCACAAAGGGATTGACAAAGCACGAAAGAAAAGAAGATGAAGCAAAGGAAAAACAGAAATGAAACTGGAGTGGGTGGCCTCCGATCACCTAAATGTGAATCGACAGCCCCCGATTGGAGTTTGGATAGGGAAAAGTTTAGAGAGAAGTGTGAGAATTTGAAAGTTTGAGATAGAAAGTGAAGAGCGAGGAGGAATTCCAGCAGCAAATTCAGCAAGAGATTCATCTCTATAGTGAGGGGAACGTTGAGTTTGCCCAATTGTTAAGAAGTTCAGATTATTTTCATTCTTTGTATACGGATGGAAGTATGATTAGTAGTTAGAATTGCTAGTTAGTCAATACTATTCTATATACAGTAGTAGGATGTTTGTAGCTGCAGACTTGTAGTTGTTTTCTGGAAGCTTGTTTTCTCAAGCAGAGCTAATAAAGACAACAATTACCGAAAAAAAAAACATAAAACTAAGGGCTAATTCCACAAGGAAGCCCAAACTATTCAAAAAGTGAAATTTGTGTACTAAACTATTCAATATGACAAATCTGGCACAATCTATGTGCGTTTTATGACATGTGTCATAAACTATTCAATTATGACAAATCTGGCGCAAAACCACATAGATGTAGTTTGTGCCAAAATTTTCATATTGAATAGTTTGTGCCCAATTACGGATCAGAGCGAGAAATATTCCCTCCAACTCAATCATAGTACAACTAATAACTAGGGATGAAAATTTCGACCTGACCCATTTTACTCGACCTGTTTGGTCTGAGGCGGGATAGGGCGGGCATGGGTACTCTTATAGACCCGACTTGCCCTGACCCATCCCATTCTAGACCCGTTCTTGACTAAATTAATTGTAATCTTAATCAAATTACTTAGGATTTTCTTTTTATTACATCATATTTTAGTTATAATAAAGTTGTAAATTAGTGAAAACCTCAATTTCTCCAATAATATAGCTAAATTTATCATAATTTTGTTTGTTTTCTTGATCTTATAATAAAAATAACGAATATTTCTAATATTTTATATAAATTGCATACTCATTGGATCGACCTGCCCCGACCTGTGACCCATAATAAATTACCCGACCTGCCATGAGACGGGTCTGTGTACCAAGAAACCCGCCCCGGACCTGCCCCATTGCCGTTCCTACTAATAATAGTGTATTGCACGGAGCCTAAAATATATCAAGCTCGATAGGCAATGAATGACCAAAAAAAGCTAGATTATCTGCAACAAAGTTTGATTCCCTGAAAACATGTTGAGTCTTAACTTCCGAAGGGTAGTCTATCATACGCCTGATCTCTGCGTTGACACTAAAATATGGATTACTCGACGTGGTACTAGTTATCAGATTCATTGCTGAAGTAGAATCTGTTTGCAGAAAAACCTTCCTAATTGCATAAAGTATTCTAATTTATATGATATTTGTCGCCAAATAATTGTTTGGCTATTGAAAAGGATGCAAGTACTTTATATTCTCAAAATACTATGTATTATATAAATAATATTATAAAAATAATGATGAAGATGAACAAGTATAGGAGAAGAGTTTTGAAGGAAAAGACATAAGAGAAGAAGGAAGAATAATGTTTATTATTCATGAACTCACTTGGTATAATGATGTGTTGTATTTATAAGCACAAATCTACTGACCATTACATTCTAATATCAATACATATAAATGAAAGATAATGGGACATAGATGAAAATTCAAATGTAGAACAAAGGTGTTATATGTAACACTCGATTGAGCATATAATGTGGGATCTACCCTACTATGGTCCATGGTCATCCACATACGTACAATCAATATTTATGTAATACTCTCTATGGATTGCCATTAGACGAAAGGACCAAGTATCAAATTAGCATAATTTTCATTAGTATCCATATCTACTAAAGGACCAGGTATCAGATTACCATAACATCCTCTAGCATGCCTATAGGTTGACGTGACGACAATTTTTCTGCTAACTAAACTTTCATACGAATGAGTGAAAGACTTCCTAAATTCAATTTCTTAAACAAACAATATGGCCTCACATTTAAAATAGTACCAGAATCGTCTAGGAAAGAAACTCCCTAGGTCTCAATGCTTTTACGGAGTCCTTCTTTGGTTTAGTACGGCTGAACACTTGGCCCTCAATTGAACAGAGGATATGTCCCACAACCTTTTCTTCTATGCTAGCACCTCGGTTCATAAATTTTGCATATTGAGGCATTTTAATTATTGTATTTATTAGTGGAACGTTGATCTTGATCTTTCCAAGCATTTCCAAGAATTTTTTTTATATCCCACATCATGTTGCACTTGCTTTTGCAAGTTTTGTTATGACTATAGAAGGGTAGGGCGCCTTATGCTGAGGAGCTACAGTGATAGGTCGCAGGCTGTTCCTTTTTCTACACAACTTCATCTCCGCACAACTTCATCGATTGAAGGTTGAGTAGGATCATTGAGGTTATTGGCACCGTTCTTTAAAGGGACAAGGTTAGGATGATGTAGTGTTTGTTTTCACTTTTCATTAAGCTTTAAATTTATAATCTCGATCAATCACAACACTAACAACTCCAATCCGAATCAAGTATGACTCGAATTGATATCGTAGTGCATTGGGTGACCAAAGCCGGATTTCTTGATTAGGGTTACAACCTACCCTCTCTAAACAGGTTTAACCCATGGACACATCACACGAATAAGTCAATCGTCATGTAAAAATTCAAGAGCATCAATATAATTAGGTGAGCATTCAACAAAGGAAGACGGTCAGCTCTACCTAAGCTAAGTCTCTATATCATCAAAACATGGCAAAACGCATGCAGACATCATCTATATGAATAAAAACCATTAACCGAGACATTGGGGCACACTAATTAAACTCAATCTAACCATAAATTAACAAATATAATTTATTACACGCTAAATTCTATTGAAAATTGATCTCATTTTGTAGAGCACAACGAACTCGTTCCATCTGCGCAAAACAAATTGAAATCCAAGTTAGAACGAAGAAGATAAAAGCCGATTAAAGAACTAAGGAAAATAAGGGGTGGTTTGCTTCAAGGATTTTATAACGAGGGTTTTGTCATGGATTTGATAATTAAAAACCTTGGGATTTATTAGGGATTTTGGGCATTATGGATTTGAGAAAATCTTTTGTTTGTTGAGCTATTTTTATCATGGATTTGATGATTTTTCAACTTGTCTCCAAATCCCAGGGTATGAGGTGGGATTTACAAATCCGTGGGGCCCACGGATTTGGAGCCCCAAATCAGTGGACCCCACGGATTTGGTACCCTCCATTTTGGCTCAACAAACAATGATTTTTGGACAAATCCTTCATGTGTTGGATTTGAGAACCAAATCCCACGTCCAAATCCTTGAAGCAAACGACCCCTAAAATGCATTTAATTCACAATCTTTAGATCTGGATTTTCTGTGGCCACTTAAATCTAAAAGTCTAGATTTAGTTACTGACCGTATCCCAAGTCGGGTTAAGAACCTAGGTTTGTTGAAAACAGTAAAGTAGATGGGTGTACAATGTAGTCAAAAGCGAGTTTCTACGTAGAAACATTTTAGGTTATCTAGAAGCGTAAAATCGTATGTTTTTAAGTTTAAGGCGAGTTTTTAACTACATAAGTTACAAAAACTGAAATTTTGCATAGAAAAACTTTAGTGATCTATAAACGTAAAATCGTATGCTTTTAAATTTTATAACACGATTTTGATTACTTTGGAATGTATTTAATTATTTTTTGTTTCAACTTCCAAGAGATCATTTTGTGGTATTTAAGTTTTGGAGGAACCACTTTGGTATTTAACCGCATAACGTGTGGGGACTAGGGATGGCAATTTCGACCTGACCCGTTTTACCCGACCTGTTTGACCTGTTTTGGGGCGGGGCGGGCATGGGTAGTCTAATCGACCCGACCTGCCCTGAACCGCCCCATTCTCGACCCGTTCTTGTCTAAATTACATGTAATCTTATTCAAATTACTTAGAATTTTCCTTTTATTGCTTCATATTTTGGCTATAATAAAGTTGTAAATTAGTAAAAACCTCAATTTCTCCAATAATTTAACTACAATTGTCATAATATTGTTAGTTTTTTTAGTCTTATAATAAAAATAACGAATATTTCTAATGTTTTCATATAAATTGCATACCCATTGGATCGACCTGCCCCGACCCGCGACCCGTGATCAATTACCCGACCTGAACCCGACCTGCCACGGGCGGTTCTGGGTACCAAGAAACCCGCCCCGGACCTTTGCCATTCCTAGTGGGGACTGGGGAAAGAAGGTTGAGATGTGTCATGAAATATTAGGTGGCGTAAAATGATTGGCTGGAAGCAAAAAAATAAGAGAAATTAAGAGGACAAACCGTAAGACCGGAAAAGAGAAACATAAATAGGATTCATATTCCGTTCATTTTCTCGCAAGATCCACCGTCCCTCCAAGCCACCGTCTCACCAGAGTCCAGAACCAGAACCACTCCAAAGCGCAGAAGCTCTTTCTCCCGCCATTCGTGCACCCTGAGCAGAGGTCTGCCCTCCACAACTGAACTGAGATTTGAATCGCCGATCGCCGGAATTTTCGAGATTCTGCAGAAAGCTACGTACGGTATTCTGCCTCCTTCCCCTGGATCCAGTCCTGAGAGCGGCGGAAGTAGCAGCAGCAGTAGTGGCACGAGGAGGAGAGTTAGAGTGTAAGAGGAAGGAAAGATGAATATATTCAGATTAGCTGGTGATATGACTCACCTCGCCAGCGTTCTCGTCCTGCTGCTCAAGATCCACACCATTAAGTCTTGTGCTGGTACGTATGCTTCTTTCTCACCTCGGTAATATTCCGATATTTTGGAGCGTCTCGAGAGATGGAGGTCTGTAATTTGCTAAACGAAATAGTAGGTAAGAGGTATCTTGAGGGGGCGATACGTTCAGAAATGTGGGAGGAGATCTGGATTGGAATGATTGAATTCGGTTTATTTTGGCTAGATATTGCTCATTTGCGGTCACAGTTTATGCTACGCTCGTTTCTTGCTCAATGAAACTGGGTTAAATGGTTACCGATTTACAACTTCCCTGGCCTTGCTTCGTGCTGGATTGGCATGTTGAGAAATATGGTGATGTACCAGTTGAGATCTATTATAGGGAAGGGTTTGAATGATTTGGAATCTATTTTCCAGTTCCATAGCTTCTACTTTCAAGCAGCTGAGTTAGAGTAATGTTTGCTTTCACTGTAGAATCTTTCCAACCTTGGTTGTACTGAGTTCTTGGACAATGGGACCGGATATAGTATGATTGATACTGTATTACTGTGTTGAATTCCCAATGATACGTTCGACACTCTAAATACGTTGCGGTGATCACCTAGATAATGGGTTTTTAACTGCTAGGTTCTATGTTTTCCATTAATCTAACTGGGACGCTGTTCATATTGATTCTATACTTCTCAATTGTGACCTGCTCTTTGTTGTATGCAGGTGTCTCTTTAAAGACCCAGGAACTATATGCACTTGTTTTTATCACTCGCTATTTGGACATGTTTACCTCTTTTGTATCCATCTATAATACCATCATGAAGTTAATATTCTTAGGAAGCACATTCTCAATTATATGGTACATGAAACACCACAAGCTTGTCCGGAGATCTTATGATAAGGATCAAGATACCTTCCGCCACTGGTTCCTCGTCCTCCCTTGTCTGCTCTTGGCCCTTCTTATTCACGAGAAATTCTCATTTCTGGAGGTTAGGTTGCACATTGTTTTACATTTCTCTCTTCTTGTGGCTGGGATCATCTGTTCATTCTATGCAATAAAGCTTTCAACCCCATTTACGTGTCTCATCGGGGCTTTGTTAGCTAGAGTATAGCCTGTTTTTTTTCTGACCTCTTTCTGTGTTGTACAGGTGATGTGGACATTTTCCATATTCCTAGAAGCAGTTGTCATACTTCCTCAGCTTGTACTGTTGCAGCGAACCAGAAATATTGACAATTTGACAGGTCAATATGTGTTTCTGCTGGGGTAAGCTCTTGTTTCTCCAGTGCCTTTGTTGCCTATGAAGTCCGAGTTCCCTGAAATATTGTGTCAGATAAGTCAGTTTGCACAATACCTTAATTATAACCAGCTCTGCCTTCTATGTAGACTTTGAATTCCCATGGATGAGTAGGTATATAGTTTCATGATAATTGAATCATGGAGATTGGTTAGTGTTTTAGTTGATAAGATCAGTTCTCTTGGTCTTAAACTCAGATACAGAGAAACTGTACTTTATGAAATCTAAATAATCAATTGCTATTTCGATTGCAGTGCTTACCGGGCCCTTTATATACTCAACTGGATCTATCGTTACTTCACAGAGCCGCACTATGTTCACTGGATAAGTATGGGCTGCTCTATTTACCTCTTTTTTTCTCCTCCCCCTTCTTCCTGCAGATTCACACATGCTTTGTGATTATCTGTTACTACATGAACTGCCCAATGTTTTCTTCCATTATCCTCTCTAATGGTAGGGTTGATGGACTGCGTAACTTTGATATTAAGATTTTATTTCCCTGCACGCAGTCACATTTGGATTAGACAAGGGATGCTTTAACTACACACCTCCCTGTGCTTGCACTTCTAGAAACCAATGTTCCCAAATTTATCACTTTCCTCTGTGATTGTCTAAAACACTATAGAGCTGGATGCTGGTTTACATGAGCTTTCATTTGGATATATTTTCCAAAGGACAGCTTCATATGATGCGTACATCCAAGCTCTTCAGTTTGGAATAATTGTGTACACATATAGCAGAACTGGCTCAAGTCCTCAGAACCAAGTAGAGGCGGAGCTTCACCATGCGTGATCTTCACTTGTGATTCTTTGAAACTGTCTAATTTTCTACCCCCTGTGAATATTTTGTATGATCTTAACATGAATGGTTGCCAATTTGCATCTGTTCCGCAGCTTGGATTTCAGGGCTCATACAAACGTTGCTGTATGCCGACTTCTTTTACTATTACTTTGAGAGGTAACTAGGTGTCTTATTAACCAGTAATTCCACTGTTATCACAATTTCTCGACTCTCAGCCCCTTCATTTGACGGCGAAATATCTGCCATGCAGTTGGAAGAACCACAAGAAGCTCCAGTTACCAGCATGAGTGATTTCGTATGCTAGCTGAAGATTTGTAGGCTCGTGCAACCCGTGGAGACAGGATTCGTTTTGGGAACAGTCAAGTTTTGTTGTTGCTGTTTATGGACTTCTGTCCTTTTCACTGTCTAATGATGGTTGAACCCATAGCAGTTCTAAACTAAGGACATGCACTTTAAGAGATGTCTACTCCGGTTGGTTTTGTCCTCTCAGAATACTATGACCACTGCGAGACCGCACACAAAATCATTGCTTGATTTGGTAGAAAGCATGGCCATAACATCGGAAACAGCAGGAAACAACAGAAGCGTAATCACACGACTCTTTGAAACTATTACAAAATCCAGCGTATTGTTAGAACAGAACCAAACTTCCAGTTTCGATGTCCATCAGCTCTCTCAAGGCATATAATAATCCCCGTCCCTTACTACTACTACGTACAAGTTAAAGCCATCCTCGGAAACCACCCGTCTGGTGCAGCATTGCATCAATTTCATCTCCATCTTCCATTTCAAGCTATCAAAGAAGTCGAACCATAATCAGCCAGACAACGAGAGCAAATAATCAGCCAGACAACGAGAGCAACGGAAGTAACGATCTCCAGGGCTCTACGGCCAGTAGAAACAGAAATTTGGGCGGCCTGCTAATGAGAAGGTAATGGAAAGCAAAGAAGGGCTCACCTCGTCTGGGGTCTGGTCGACACGCAGCCTACGACCATCGAACAGGAACGCGATGGAGTTGAGGTCCACCGACTGTCTATCGCAGTATGCTGTCATCAATTTGCGAAGCTGGGTGCTGCGCTTGATCCTGAAGAACACCTCGTTCCCATCCTGCAAAATCAAGACATTGTTAGGTAAATAAAAACAGAAAACACCAACAAGGTAGGAGCTAGTTGGAAAGTACTGAATACAAGCAGAATGCCAAATCACCCAAGTACCAAGTTAAGATAAAAGCAAGCAACCCATTTCATCTGGAGGATCAAAGATGCAGTCGCAGCCACCAATTTATCTAGCAGTGAACAGAACAACATCCCATATATCCTGATTTCAAAATCACTACTTGTTTCCTGGCAACTAGTTTTTTTCTTCTTCTTTTCCTAGCTGCGAGTAGAGGAGGACAAGGCAACATGAAGCCCATTACTCAAAAGCTCATGTTCCCATAGCAAATCAATCTCAAGCATAAACGAACGAGACCCAGTCCTGCTTTAGTAAAACCTAACACAGGATTCCGCTGCAAACCAAGCTAATGGACACGGCTAACAAAAACTCCAAATTGAACCCTCAAAACAAACCAGCAGCAGGAATCAAAATTCCACAGGCCAGCATCCATCAGTTGGCCGACGGAGAAATCAGACAGTAAAACCAGATGATTACCTGGCCCTTGACTTTGAGGTTGATGTGACCTCCCTGATCCCCGGGCTTCTTGTCTTCCTCCTGCCCGCCGCCGCCGGTAGCCGACATATCTCGTATCCGCCTCTCTTTTCTTTCTTCCGTCAACCGTCCGATCTTCTCTGCGACTTCCGAAAGCGAAACGCCAAACTCTGTATCTCCCAGCGCAGTCACTCTGGTGGTAGAAATAATGAATAGCAATTGATGTAGGGAGGAGAGCGCAGAAGAAAAGAGATAATTGTCGACTGTGGTCTGTGGGTCCGGCTCCAAACGAGAGAGCTGAAGTTTTTTCGCGTTACATTCACGCTAGGATAGGAAGGATGGCCGTGGCCCGTGGGATTTGCCCACTTTCGAGGGCCACGTGGTCGATGAGAACAAGCCAGTGGGGATTCGCCCTGACAGTCCGTTGAAGTTAGAGGTGATAATTGGATTGGATTGTTGGATCCATAGATCAAATAGATCGAATCCAATGGATTAGTGGATTCATGGATTGGATCTAATGGATTGGTGGATTGATCCATGAATCCAAATGACATTCAAGGCTTTAACCAAAATGTAAATTTTGAAAAATTTAGGTACTAAAATGTCATAATGAAAAATTTTAGGTACCAAAATGTAATTTTCCAATGATATTTTTTGTATAAAAATATAAGTTTTAGGTACTAAAATGTAAAATATAAAAAAATAGGTACCAAATCATAATTTGTCATTTGGATCCATGGATTGATCCATGAATCCACCAATCCAATTGAATTTGGATCAAATGGATTGGATTTAAATGGATTGGATTAGGTGGATAATTTGGTGGATGGATTGGATTGGATTCATGGATTTGGATCCTAATTGCCACCTCTAGTTGAAGTATATGAAATTTGATAAACGTTTGCATTCCGGTAGGGAATTGGTAGTCAATAGTCATGGCTTGATTTGCTGAAAAATTACATTCCTATTCCAACCAACCAATCATTGCATCTAACCGAAATGGTCGGATAATTAACTTTTTCACAATCAATCGACTATTACATTTACGCTCTGTTTGGCAACGAGTGAATGCAAATTGATGTGCAAATTGTAGGAGGGAGTAAATTTAAGTGAGTATAAATTGGAGTGTAAATTGTTGTTTGAAAGAAAAAATGAGGGGTGTAAAATGAGAGATAAATTATGAATTTTAATTTAATAATAATTATAGTTAGAAAAAAAAGGAAAAAAATGTGGCCCACTTTCTTAATTTCTTTATCCACTTCCCCTACCCGAACCCACTTCCTTCCATTGTTGTCAAAACTGAATCGGATATCGATGCGAATTAATAAGAGGTTCAAGGTTTATCGGATAGTCGTTAATTAACCGACATTAAAACTGGCAATAAACTGGTGCTTAGCTCTTGATTAGAAGAAAGAAAAATAGAGTAAGAATACAAAAAATGATCAAAACTGAAAAGGAAAGTATCGGTAGGGAGTAGGTAGCCCGTAGAGTAACATTGATTTTACCTTTGCCTTTGTTTTTCTTTAATTATTAATCAAAAGAAGGGAAAATGAGGACGTATCCACAACTGGAAATCAAAGGCGCTCTCGTTGGCGGCTAAAGAGGTAGTCATCAAAGCAGTTGGGTCAGCAACACCAGTTTATGCAATGCTTTCGTTCAGACTCCCGTCCACATCTTGTCGTCGAATGGTCAGCTTTCGAAGTTCTGGTGGGCTGGACAGGATAAGGAGAAAGGGATGCATTGGTATCTTGGCATGCCCTATGTGTGAGTAAGTTTCGTGGTTGTCTTGGATTTCGAGACTTTGACCTATTCAATGTTGCAATGCTAGCTAAACAGGCGTGGAAGGTCCTTCAATCGCCCAATTCCACCCTTGCTTGACTATACAAGGCTCGATACCACCCTCATTGTGATTTCCTCTCGGCTTCGACGAGGACTCGTCCTTCATGGGCTTGGCAAGGCGTTGTAGAGGGTCGTCGACTTCTGCAAAAAGGGCTAAGATGGCAGGTTGGATGTGGTACTGCAATTCGTATCGTCGGGGATCCTTGGTTGCCTACCTCCCCTCCTTCTTTCCCTACTCTACTTCCTGGAGTTACCCTTGCTAATCCATTTGTTGCTTCCCTTATTCATCCTCTCACCCGCTCTTGGAATACTGATCTTATTCGCTCTTATTTTGCCAGTGATAGCGTCAAATGGATTATGTCTATCCCACTTCCAGCATCTCCTCAGCCGGATAAATTTATTTGGCATTACTCTGACTCAGGAATTTATACTGTGAAGACAGGTTATCATATCCTCTCGGACGAACGCTCAGAGGTGTTTGATACTCTCCCCTCACATTTAGACACCAAGTTCTTGAAGTCTCTCTGGAGTTTGCCTATCTCCCCCAAGCTGAAGTTCTTCCTTTGGAGGGTCGTGAGGGGCTTTCTGTCGTGCCTGGAAATTCTGCAGAATAAGTCCTTGAGTCCATCTAGCTTATGTCCTGTGTGTTCGGCTGCTAATGAATCCATTCGCATTGTTTATTTGACTGCAGAGTGGCTCGGGAAGTTTGGAGATTAGCTGGGAAAGATCACATTCGGGTGGTAATTGCCAACATGTCTGCTGATTTGGCTTGGGCTCACATTTTCTTTGGTTTGCAGCTGCACAAGGTAGAGCTAGCTGAAATAGTTTTCCTCACATGGCGAATTTGGAAGGGTCGATGTTGGGCATGCTATGATCTATCCAGTATCTACCAAGTCCGCTCCACAGACAATTCACTCAACAAAGAGACGAATGGGTTGCGGCCACATCGACAGTCAACCGTGCGCCCCACCGTGCTGGCCGATCTCCACAGCAGCTCCCTTCTCCGACTTGCCCTCTCGGCGGGCTGCTAGTAAGGTTTGATGGCGCTACTAGGCGAGATGAACGGGGGAGTATTGGCTTTGTTGGTTTTTCGCCTTCGGACTCACTAGTTTGTGCCTATGGCAAGTATTATGAAGGTATATCAGATGCGTTTCTGATGGAATTATTAGCATTACGTGATGCAATGGATTGGTGTTTAACTCGTGGTGTGTACTCTGTCTGTTTTTGTGGTGACTTGCAACTGGTGATTCGACGAGCTATGGAGAATGATGTTCAACATGACCGAGGCGGAGCGATCCTTGAGGAAGTGCTATTGATGAAGTCCTCCTTCTCAGTGATTCGTTTTGTTTTTTCTCCTCGTAGAACTAACAGGGTTGCCCATTGCGTGGCGAAAAAGGCTCTTGCTTCGGTGAATCAGCATTTGGCTGATTACCGTTTTTTTATTTTCAAACTGATTGTAATTCCCTATCTATTAACTATCTTACTAAGGCAAAAAAAAAAAAAGGAAAATGAGGACGTCAGTTTTTTCCCAAGTTCACCCGTTTATATACTTCCGGAACCGGATCTGTGCCGGGGTCCGATTTTTTCCGGTCCGGTTTTCATAAATTTACTTCCTTCCTTCCCTTTCCCCCTATCCGCACTTCCTCCCTCCTCCTTCTTTACCCTTCAAATTTCCCGACCCCACCTTCTATTCCTTGACCTGCTCACTTCTCCCCCTTTCTCATTTTACGCCCCAATTCTCGTTATAGTATGATGAAAAAGCTCTCAAGCCTCCTACGGGAAACAAAAAACATTTGAGGTGCAAAGCAAAACAATGGTTTTCCACTCCTATTTGCTCTCTTCTCTCTGATAGAAATTATCCAAACCAGTTCATTTTCTTTGAATTTTGTATTTACCCCTCATAATTTACGCCCCCCTTATTTGCACCCCAAACCAAACAGGGTGTTAACAAAAGCAAATCGAGTTAAGTTGACTCTATATGCTAGTCCAAGCATTATCCTCAACTCAATTGGTTAGGAAATAAATTGAACAATGACTTGTTGTTGTATTATTATCATTAGTTTTGATTTTTTTTAGGGTTAAAGACACATTTGGTCACTGAGATTACAAAATCGGGACATGTTTAGTCATTAGAAAAAGTTAATATCAAATTTGGTCACTACAATTACTAAAACTGGACACATTTAGTCACTCGCCGTTAGTCTCCGTCCAACTCCGTTAATGAAGTCCGTTAAGTGCTGATGTGGCAAACAGAATTGCCTAATCAGCCGGATATAACCCAACAAAAATAAAACCCGACCCGCCACGTCATTAAAACCAATCCAACCCATGATCCAACCCCACCCCACCCAACCACTTTTTAATCTCTTCCCTTTGGACCTAAGCAAAAACCACCACACTCCAAAAACATTTCCCTTCACTTTCTTCCCCTTTTCTCAGAGCCCAAACACTTCCCCAGACAAATCAAATCCCTCTCCCCCAATCTAAATCCCCATGGCCGACAGAGTCTATCCGGCCAAACCTCCCGCCGCGGCGGCGGCGGCTCCTCCAACCACCACCGAGACAGAAATCTCCAGAGCGTTCAAACAGAAGGCCCTACAATTTCATCCCGACAAGAACCCCGACGATCCGCACGCGAAACAGAGCTTCCAGAAGCTTCAATTCTCGTACGGGATCCTGAAAGACGGCAGGTCCCGCGAGCTGTACGACAATCAAATTCGGGCCAGGATGAATCAGAAGCAGCAGGAAGAGGCCCGGCGCCGGGCTCGAGAGGAGGAGATCGAGCGGGAGTGCGAGCGGATGAGGAGGAGGAGGATGGAGAAAGAAGAGGAAGAAGAAGCTCGCCGCCGCCGAGCTGAACAGGTAGAATCGGAGCGGAGAAGAAGTTGGATGGAGGGGAAAGAAGTGGATAAGCAGCAGCAAGACGCCCGCCGCGGAGATGAACAGGGGAAATCAGAGCGGAGTCGGTGTTGGGTGAATGGGAAAGAAGTGGACGATTACCTTCGGCAACAGCAGCAAGAGGCCCGCCGCCGGGCTCGAGAGGAGGAGCTCGAGCAGGAGTGCGAGCGAATGAGGAGGAGGATGGTGGAGGAAGAAGCTTGCCGCCGAGCTGAATAGGGGAAATCAGAGCGGCGGCGAGCTAGAGAGGAAGAAGGGTTGGGTGGGGTTGGGTCATGGGTTGGGTTGGGTTGGGTTGGTTTTAATGACGTGGCGGGTTATAATGACGTGGCGGGTCAGGTTTTATTTTTGTTGGCTTATATTCGGCTGATTAGGCAATTCTGTTTGCCACATCAGCACTTAACGGACTTCATTAACGGAGTTGGACGGAGACTAACGGCGAGTGACTAAATGTGTCCAGTTTTAGTAATTGTAGTGACCAAATTTGATATTAACTTTTTCTAGTGACTAAACATGTCCCGATTTTGTAATCTCAGTGACCAAATGTGTCTTTAACCCATTTTTTTATAAGTGCGACTAGTATGTATTATTAGAAAGGAAGAGAAAAACCATAA